CGCCCAAGGTCATTGTTTACACCAAGCGCTCTACAGGTCTACTTTATAACCACTACAAACTTAAAAAGTTGCGTTGCACAAACACTTTGTACGACCAAAATCTTAACACAAGCGTGCCGAGATCAAATCTGGTGTGTGACGTGGGTGCAATGCCACTCTGGAAAATATTTTGAAGGCTACTCAGTATATGTGAACGAATGAATTGATAATCACTTTAGTAGATTATGCTTATTTAACAAGCCTGCTTAGGATGCTTACTGTAAACCTATAAATGTTGTAATTTGTAGATCATGACTGTGTAGAGCCGATGAAATTCAACTGAGCCCCAGCTAAATCGTCCTGCAGTTGGGTCATTGATTATCGAACAAATTATCGCTCCTCGTCAAGGTCAAAAACAACCAACGAGCGTCAGTTAATCGTACGCCATGGACTGGCCCATGCGTTAGTGGTCTTACTTTTGCTTGTATCTACTTTAACTAATCTATTTCTGTAATGACGTCTTTTGTGTTGTACGGTCTTCAAAGCATATGTAGTGCCTTGATACGTCAATGTGGTAATCCACGTAAAGTTCTGACTGCGAGGTGTGACTTCGACGTTAGCTAGTTTGTCACACCACTCACATCTAACTCGAGTAGGCCTTCAATCATTTTGACGTAGATCATCTACGTTGGTGATATATATCACTATCCACTAAAATGTTTTACTTTTTTCGACCACGCTGGTGATCTACTGCTGTAAAATGGCGTGTACCTGCCCCTGCATAAATATATTATATTTATCACAATACACGAAAGATTTTAAAACCTGACAACAAGGAACAGGCATTCAATGTGTCGTTTAGCGTACCAGATTACCTTGAGATTCAAATTAATGACGTCACAGATACTCACTATTTCCTAACACAACCATCTTTTTACATGATGATCTCCAAGTCAAAAAAATCAAAAGTGAAGGATGATTGGGTGTGAAGATTTGTTTGGATGTAGATTGGTTGATCGAAGTGTATGGAATCTAAGCTGATGCGTCGACCTACAAGACAAGATGACTGGCCTACCCAAACGTGATTTATCAGGGATGTTTGACCGGGTATCTTCAGATAGAATTGTGTACAGTAAAATTAATTATGTCAACATCAGCGTTGGAGACCTAGAAATAGTGATCGTTTTAAGACTTTGTATATCACTACAAGATGATCTTGAAATTTGTAAGAAAGTCCAAAACTCTTTAAATACTTTGACGCTCAAGATAAGTTGATCGGACGAAAAAACAGGACAATCATAAATTACCACATACCTAACATCAGTAAATCCTGAATGATAATGATAGTGAACTACCTCTCACGTTCTGGACGAATAAAGTATGATATTTTCCACACTTACAAGACACTCGCGAGTCAACCTACATAATATTCTGGAAGCTACCTAACACTGACACACTAGAAACAACAAGCCATACCGTTCTGTGGTTTCCCTCCAGAACTTCAGCTAACGTGGTCTCCGAACTTTAGCATACCCATCTTTGCTTGAGTTTGTACACGCTGAAATGTCTTAAACACCGTAAATGACTTATTTAGTAGACAGTGCTATTTATGTCGGCAACAGTTTGCTCATATCTTTGAGCCATTATCTCCATGCTTCTGTGGTCATGTATGCTTGATCACATGTTACAGCTTATTCTATATTCCTCAAACTGGCTTAAATTGCTCAATGACTCATTCGCCTACCTACATTTATGTGATTCTTAAATCCCATTCGTTCGCATTTTGTTCGTATTCTCTGTGTACTTGTGGCCTTTCGATCTGTACTATGCAATGATAAACTGATCGTCGCTCTGTATAGCCTTCTCCAAATTGATGCACCCTTAGGAGCTATCTAATAAGTGTTACCAATATTAGTGATGTATGAAGCATAGGAATTATCTCGAGAACATTTCACTACTAACTACCCAAACTGATTTTCGGCACTTGGTTAGGATATTATACTAAAAAATACATACCCTATGTCCGACAACCTTAAGCACGATATCACTCTCACTGAAAGATTCAAAGAGAAGTATGGTGCTCAGCCAAAACATGAGACATACTGAATTCTCTTGATTGCTTTGAACTCCCGACTTATATAGTAACAAGGGCTTGACGTTCCTTTAGGTTTTGTAACTAATGGGGGAGACACTGTGTTACTCCTGCCACTATTATTTGGTGTTTCAGTCCTTCGCACATGATAACTACTCTCCACAGTCCATAGAAATATTATCCTCATGTCCAAGATCGTAGCCTAATGAACAAAAGGTCAACCATCGTTTGCTAGGATTTATTTAACAACTCATATTTCACCATGGTCATGAAAAACACATGTGAGCAAGTTATATGTCGTGTTGTTATCAATTGTGGTATGCAATGTGAAAAATGCAAGGGCTGGTTTCAAGTGGCATGTACAGATTTCAAATTAACTGCTTACAACAGACTTGGTAAGTCAGATCGCATGTGGACATATGGCTCATTCGACACGAATACTGGAAACTTACTGAGTAACATTACTGTTTCTGCAACAGGTCTTTGTATTAAATTGTTAAGAACCTTGAAAAAAGTATTCCTGAAGGAAATAAATAAATAAAGACAAGCAGTGAAGTAAAGAAGAGGGTTAGACTCTTAGCAAACTTGTGTACACCAGTTGAGCTCCTGAGTCCCCGAAACTTCCACTGTAGACCACTAGATCTGCGTCAACAGGGTTAAAATGAGCCGAACGTCGCTGTCGAAAATGCTGGTTAAAATCAGTTAATGCATCAGCCCTTCAATCTTCCCCGAACATTTAACAACCAGTCAACAAACTGCACGGGAATTAGGATCATAATACAACTAATAAACAAAAAAGATCGCAGCCTGAACGTGCTTGAAAATTTGGGAAAACGACCATGGTTCGCGACAATTCTCTCATTATCAAGAACCCTGAAGACAGCTCTCACCTTCCCCTCAGTTTCCAGGACAAAAACAGTAGCTCGCATTAGTGAGAGTTTAACGTGACGACACAAAAAGAAGGCCCAAACAAGCAAGATACCAATGCACAGAGTCAATAACGGAAGTCAAATTTTGAAATTAGCTACCGGCTGAGCTAGTCCAAGCGACTTCCTAGGAGCGTTTGAAAGTCCTTCCATTTGGTCCAACTCGAGAGCGACGTAAAGATTCCAATACAACTTTGGATACAAGTTGGTTTCTATGCACTCCTTTATAAAATCAACATTTGTCATCGCCTCACTGAGCCTTGCGCAATACTTCAGATACTCGTTGAGAACCTTTAACGCAAATGTTTGCTCAGAACGTTTCAATATAGTGAAAATTCCCATTTCGCCATTTAGTAAATAAAGAAGGAACGAATTGAGCGAAAAATTTCTTTCCAATTAGTTGTTCATCATGGCTCTACACTAATATATATATGATTTACAATAATGGTATAATACTCCTCGAGTGGATACGTTACGTATCAATTACATGATTACATTTCTTCCAATTACTCAATGTTAATTTAGATGTCATTATGTAATTATAACGTAAAGTATCCACTCGAGGAGTATTATACCATTATTGTAAATCATATATATATTAGTGTAGAGCCATGATGAACAACTAATTGAAAAGAAATTTTTCGCTCAATTCGTTCCTTCTTTATTTACCAAATGGCAAAATGGGAGTTTTCACCATATTGACTTCCTAGGAGTCCTCCAAAAAGGAAACTTGACATATTCTTAAGGACTAAAGAGAGTATCTCACTATTATTGACTGATATTTTTTTTCAGAAGGGCCTTCTCTGAAGATTGTGCTAATTTCATTGTTCGTTTCACGAGTCGACTAAAGCTAGATCACCATGGAGAACCTGGAATCACTGGGCGGTCGTTTCTGCCCTAAAATGGGACTCAGCAGTGCACATCCACGATCCCGCTCGCATGATTAGAACCCAGGACCTTCGGTCTCGTGCATGAGGGCATAACATTAACGCTGTTGAATAGAAGCTCAGTGGTCTAGAGGACAATCAAAACGACGGAACGGCCACCCAGTGATTCCAGGTTTTTCACGGTCGTCTAGCTTCCATTGACTTATGAACCCAACTACTAAATTATTATTTTTCCCGTTAAACATACGTTGGTTTCTACTTAACGATATCGGTGATGCACTGAATCCGTTAAGTGAGTGCTTCTTTTGTTCTGTCCAGAGACCGGAAAGACGCGATAGCTAGTAACTATCGCCCCGTTAGCTTTACTACTGCAGTTGTGAAACTGATGGAGAAAGTTATTCGGATAGCTGTCATAAACTATGTAGAAGGGCATCATGTTCTATCCAGGGAACAACATGATCTGATAATTTGAGAGGACATTCCAAGAAAGTTCGAAAACGGAGATCAAATCGCTTTCGCCTGGAGTTTCGTTTCTCTCACCGAGTAGTGAATTTCTGGAATTTTCTACTAAAACACGTAATATTCACACCTGCTGATATATTCAAAACGAGATTTGACCTCCACAGTGCTACAAACTGTAAGGATTAATATAGGTCGATGGACCTCCTATCCTTATTACTGAAGACAGAAACGTTTGCTCAACGAATTTTTAGCGTTTCTCTACTTTCGAATTCTTAAGTTTATTGAAGCCTTGGCTATTCGTAAATTTAAACCCCCCTTATGTGTACAAAGACAATTTGTCGTAACCTTGAATTTACCTTGGTAATCCTTAAGTCATTCTATGGCCTAGGATAACGCGACAATTTCTTATTCTTTCTCTCCCCTTAGTTATTTTAATTGTACTTTTATTTGTTTGACCTTTACTAATTTTCATATAAAAATGCCTTGACAAGTATATGTGTGACCAGATTGTTCGAAATGTATAGCGCAAATAAATCACATTTTTCAGATCAACTCCGTCTTCTCATTGTTCTATCGAAATTTATAAAAAGGACGAATTGCTTTAAATTTCTCTACTTTGTCACAAATTGAAATACTGCGTTACAATTCGACGTCATGATATCTATTCAGGACGTAAGGGTATGGGCTGAAAAACACAATCTGTATATGGTAGTGTTGAATTCCCTATAAATATTTTCAAAGGATTTTGTGGGTCAGAAAAACGCTGAGAGATGTATGAACCTAATGATTATTACATTTCTGGTCAGTTTTTCTGATTTCATCTTTATACGTAATTGTCTGTAGGTCATAGCGTTACCAGTTGGATATTACAAACAACAGTTGTCTGATAGCGTTTTAATACTATTATTCGGCTGTATACTCACGGCTCTTGCTGTACTACCACCGTGGCCATGTTACCATAAAAATCCAATTGACTGGTATCATGAAGAAACTAAAAGCAACAAAAAAACAGACTGATTTTCCGCTTATATCTTTCATTTCCTCTGTTATTTTACTTCTTTATAAGTAACTAATAAATTTGATTTCTTTTGAGATCAACGGTGGTTATGACTCCTACTATGATGGATTGTATTATAGTAATACATATACATCAACTTAGAACTGGGATCGTTTTGAACCATGGTGTATATGGTCCGGGTATTCGTGATGATTTTCTCATATGCCGTCATGTATGCCTTAATGTATTAGATTTTTCGTCAGTGCGTGAGACGTCAGTGTTCATCAAGCTTATTGTGTATTCCGTAGAGTATTCGAAATCCTAATATTCTGAAGCCTTTGTTCCCATTATCAGTCCTAATAGTGTGACGTTGTAGAAGAATACTAATGCTATTTCATCCAGTATATTTCTTGTGTAAGATTCCTGTTCGAACCTAAAAACTAAGTTTTTAAATCCATTACAATCGCATTGCAGAGGCAAACAGACAATCTTTCCTGGTCCAAATAAAATTTAATACTGTCCGTAACTGGTCAAAGTAGATAGTCCATTTAGTACTTTGCCTCATTCGAGGTTTTAGCTTTTTTATTGTACACGGATCGTATTTATTTCGTCTTAGTAAAATAGATCACAGTATAGGGAAGTCACAACCCTGTATCTTTCAAATTATTCTCCTTTTAATAGGAATAAGCGTAGGCATCAGTCGGTAAGTCTACAAACTTAGCATCAAGCCATAATGACTGCCATTTTTACACTGTACATATGATCGAACTTGAATGTGATCTTAAACTCTATAGTAAGTCCAAAACATATGTGATTGTATAAGTTGCCGCTGGATAGTAGAGGCAGGATGACTTTAATAGGTGCACCAAGGTCTTTGTGGATTACAATACAATCTACCATTAATATGTTCAATGAAATGCAAAGTGTCATTGGAGACTTGTGCAAGCAGAGCGTGCCCATTAGATACAAGTAACCTGGAATTTAAGACATTGAGTTTAAGTAAGGAACATCTGGATTTCAAAGTAACCATAGTTGATTTCGCTCATGTATGATGCGATCGTAGTATAGCACACCGGAAATGCTCCATACTCAGGACAATTGCTTTGACATTAGTATAAGGTGGCTGCAACTTGAACCGGTGTACACACGTACAGGCTCTACGTCGTGACTGCCTGAAGGTGGTCGTGCAAGTCAACTGAAATGCGATAGACTACGTTAACATCTCCATATAATTCACTTTTATTCGTTTCATTAATTAAGGGTTATATTTCTATATTAACACACAAGTAAATGCTTAGTCATTTTTAGGATCCGTAATCCTCACTAACTGGATGTTTTTATCCTGATAACATTTAGGCTTTGCTTACTTAGACCTGTTACTCCTCGTGGAGGAGCATAGGCCACCCACCAGCACTCTCCATCCAACCATGTTCTGGACAATCCTTTCCAGCTGTTATTATTCCTTTTCATATCTGCTTCTATTTCCCGACGTAATGTGGTCATTGGCCTTCCTCTTTTCCGCTTCCCTTCAGGATTCCAAGTTAGCGCTTGCCTCGTGATGCAGTTTGATGACTTGCGTAATGTATGTTTTATCCATTTCCATCGTCTTTCCCTAATTTCTTCAGCTGGAAGTTGGTTTGTTCTCTCCCACAGAATGCTATTGCTGATGGTATCCGGCCAATGGATGTTGAGTATCTTGCGAAGACAGCTATTTATAAATACTTGTACTTTCTTGATGGTGGTTGTTGTGGTTCTTCAAGTTTCAGCTCCATACAGTAGAACTGCCTTGACGTTGGTATTGGAGATTCTCACTTTGATATTGGTTGAAAGTTGTTTTGAGCTCCATATGTTCTTCAATTGTAGGAATGCGACCCTTGCTTTGCCAATCCTTGCCTTTACGTCTGCATCGGATCCTCCTTGTTCATCGATGATGCTTCCCAGGTATGTGAAGGATTCTACATCTTCCAGAGTTTCGCCATCAAGAGTGATTAGATTGCTGTTCTTCGTTCTGAATTTGAGGACCTTGGTTTTCTCCTTGTGTATGCTGAGGCTTACTGATGCAGAGACTGCTGCTACACTGGCTGTCTTTATCTGCATTTGTTCATGCGTATGCGATAGGAGGGCTGGGTCATCTGCGAATTCCAAATCGTCTAATTGGTTCTGAGCTGTCCGTGTTTTCTCTCAGATGTCGAGGTTTTCATAATCCAGTCGACCACCAGAAGGAAGAGAGTAGACAGCCTTGTCTGACTCCGGTCCTTACTTGGAATACATCTGCCAGCTGTCCTCCATGCACGACTTTGCACTGTAGTCCGTCGTATGAGTTCCGGATAATGTTGACAATCTTCCCAGGAACTCCATAATATCGAAGAATTTTCCATAATGTCCTCCTATCTACAACGTCAAACGCCTTTTCATAATCAATGAATTTGAAGTATAGTGACGAGTTCCACTCAACTGATTATTTGACGATGATCCGTAGTGTCGCAATTCGGTCCGTGCACGACCGATCCTTACGGAATCCAACCATCTTTCATCCGGTTCTGCAACACTGTCAAAGACTTTCCCTGGTATTGACAGTAGTGTGATGCCTCTGTAGTTTTCACATTTGCTCAGATCTTCTTTCTTTGGAATCTTGATGACATGTCCTTCTTTCCAGTCCATCGGCACTTGTTCCTTCTCCCAAATCTTCTTGGATAGAAGGTAAAGCATGTTTGTAGTTACTTCGATGTCTGACTTCAGTGCTTCAGTCAGTCAGTCAGTCAGCTACAACGTAGGACCAGGCACATATGTGCATCGGTCCAGGTTGCCATACCGCATCAGCACAACAAGATGAACACCGGATTCATAGCAGTGGTTAGGTCAAAGGTAGTAATATATAAGAGAAAGATTGCATATAGAGATATAGTACAAGAAGAAAGAATTGGTTCGTAGAAAGAAAGATATGAAGCGATTCTAATCTCTTAGTTTAAGGGAAGACAGGGAGTGTATACACCGACGCCATTGGGATCGATTCTGAGCCATTTCACCAAGAGTCTCCAACCATCGGTTACGAAAGTCACGCGGACCCCAACCAAGTAGTCTGCATCTACCAACATGGCTCAGACTAGAAGTTAGTGACTTCAAGCACTGATGCCACGTTTTGGTTTGGCCGCCCCTAAATTTCTTCCAACCATTTCCAATACCGGATAGCATTGCACGTCGTGGTAATCGGTGTTCAGGCATACGTAACACGTGGCCCAACCATCTCAGTCGATGAAGATTCATAACCTCATCAATTGATTTACCATCATTCCCTAATATCCTGCGTCTAACCTCACTATTACTTACCCGGTGATCCCAGCAGACGCCAGCAATATTTCTAAGGCATCTGTGGTCAAATACTAATAGCTTACGAGTGTATTCTACTCTTAATGGCCATGTTTCGCTGCCGTAAATTAAAACAGAACGGACTGCCGCGTAGTATACTCGTCATTTTATTGATAGACGGATATCTCGCCTTCGCCACAGGTGACGTAAGTTGGCAAAAGCCAAACGAGCTTTTCGAATCCGTGCTGAGATTTCGTCAGCATTTTGTCAGCGTCTTCACCAAACAGGACTATGTCATCTGCGTATTCTAAGTCGATAAGTGGACCTCCTGGTAGGAGATCAATACCCGAGAACTCAGTCGACGAGAATGTTATTTCCATCAGTAGATCTATGATGAAGTTAAACAAAAATGGGGAAAGTGGACAGCCTTGACGGACACCACTTGAGGTTGCAAAAGTAGATGACAGTTCGCCATAAGCTCTGGCTCGACTAGTAGTGTTCGAGTAAAGAGCCTTTACAAGGTTTATGTACTTCTGGGGTACGCCTTTCAATGACAGACACTGCCACAGAATCTCGCGGTCAACAGAGTCAAATGCTGCTTTTAAGTCGAGAAAGACCACCATTGTCGGACGCCGATAAGTATGCCTGTGTTCTAGAATCTGACGAATGGTGAATATGTGGTTGATGCAGCCACGACCAGGTCTAAAGCCAGCTTGGTTCTCTCGTGTTTGCAGTTCACGAGTCTTAGTTAGGCGTCTGATAATTATCGAGGCTAGTATTTTAGATATTATATTAGTTAAACTAATCCCTCTGTGGTTGTCACAGGATGATTTTGACCCTGGGACGATAAGTGATTGTGACCAGTTAGATGGAATAACGTCTAACTCCCAGATTTTAGCTAAAATATTAGTCAACCTAATCGCTAAGATTGGACCACCATCCTTAAAGACCTCTGGAGCCAATCCATCTGGACCAGCTGCCCTTCCTCGCTTCAGATTAACTAAAGCCTTTTGAACTTCTGCTAGAGTTGGAGGACCTATTTCAATGTTCCATTCACACTGTCTGGGAATGGAGGGTAGTTGTAGAGTAGCTGAAGGCCAGCTGAACTGTTCTCTGAAATGTTCCGCCCATCGTTCTAAACGCCTGGACTGGGAGCAGATGAGTGTATCGTCTTTTTCCGATATAATCTCACTTACACTTGACTTATTAATTCCAGTTTCTTTTATTAGTCTGTAAAGCTGTCTTGTGTTCCCTATAGTCGCCGCCTTTTCCATCTCTTTTGCTTTCGTTGCCCACCACTGCTCACGGTCGTTTCTTAGACTTTTTCTTAACCTAGATCTGATTTGTTGTCGCTCTTCATCATGTTCGGAACCTGATGGGACGAGTTTGCGAGAATCCATCAGTGTGATAGACTTTGAAGATATCCATTGGTTCTTTGAAACTCTGTGGTTTAAGTCGCTAATAGATGTCACTGCTGTTTCCACAGCTGCTTGTATGTCTTTCCAAGCAACATCTGGGTCAGCCTCGTCTTCAGAACTATCTAATCGTGACCTCAGTTGTTCCTGGAACCTACTTTTGGTTTCCTCGCTACTCAGTTCGGTTCTAATGGGTCTTTTTACTGTGGCTTTTTTGCGTCCAGTGAGGCGCAAGCAGATGCGTGCCCGTATTAGGGCGTGGTCGGAGTCCAAGCAGGTACTCCAGAATGAGCGACAAC